GTATGTGGTGCTGAGGATCGAACCCGGGCCGCACACATGCCAGGTGAGCGCGCTACCGCTTGAGCCACATCCCCAGCCCCCAACATCTTTATTTTTATGTGGTGCTGAGGATCGAACCCAGTGCCCCACGCATGCCAGGCGAGTGCTCTACTGCTTGAGCTACATCCCCAGCCCCAGTGTGCTACCACTCTTGATGGCTGTTCTGCTTGTGCCAGTTTTGCACAGTGGGTTATGGGAATATGCATCCCATTCAGGGTGGAGAGTGGCAGCAGGGGTGACTCCTGTTGAATTGGGAGCTTGTTCAACACTCATTTTGAAGGTTATCAAGGCTCCTGAGATCCAGGGATGAAGAGTGCTCACACATTCTGCCAAATGTCCAGAAGATAAAGGAACAGTTTTCCTTTGAGTATTTGACCCCTTCCTGGGCCCTTCCCCCACTTCTGAAAGGACACTGAAAGGTAATTTCAGAAGTTGTTTGCATGATAGCTAGGGTAACAAACTTTTTGGTCTGTGCACTTCAAGTATTTCCTCTCAACTGTTGGTGATATCAGGTTTCCTCCAAACAATGGAATTATGGTGAAAATGTAAGAGATGGAAACACCACTCAATAATAAAGAGGAACGAACTACTGCTGCACATAGCAACATGATGCATCTCAGAATAATTCCTCTGAGTGGAAGAAGCATTCAGACAAGCGATTTCACTCACAAAATTCTAGAAAGTACCATCTAATCTACAGTAATAGAGAGCAGATCAGTGATAGGGAGGATGGAAAGAGGGTAGGGTAGGAACAGGGAATGATAAAGGGCACTTGGAGACTTGAGGGTGATGGCCGTGTTTATTTTGTTGATTGTAGTGACAGTTGTGTGTTTATATATGTTGATGTGTGTCAGTTTCTAAAATTATATACTTTCAATATATGCCATTTATCGCATGTCAGTTTTACCTCAGAGGGACTGTTAAAAGAAAAATCCCATAGAGAGAGCTGTCTGTGCCCATCCAGTGTTCCAGTGACCGCCCCCACCCCAGGCTGAAAGTGCTGAGACTCTTACACTTTTTTATGAGTGGAACAGTTCTACGCTCATCTTCCTGTGACCCAGCAGAGAAATGAAGTGTCTGTCCACATAGGGTGGTTGGAATTTCACAGCAGCTTTGTTCATGGAGGAGTCCTAAGTGGAGAAAGCCCCAAATGGCCATCAATAGGTGAAGGAATAAAGTATGTACATTCAGTCGGGGACAAGCCTACCTGTTGGCTTGGCTGGCTTTTCTTTAGCTCAGATCTCCTGAAAATAGTAAGATTTGTGGGAAGGTATATTCCTTTCAGATAGGAACTCAGTGTTTTGGAGCAGATGCTCCAGGTAACCCTGAAGGTGCTGCTTGAGACCTGGGGACCTTGTTCCCTCATCTTAAGATTAGGCCTGCGCCAAGTGCTCCCTCTTTACTCACAGCTTCAACCATCAGCCCACACTCAAGATTTTACTTGTAAGTGCAGGAGCTGCTTATATATATATATATATATATATATATATATATATATATATATATATATATATATATA